TGCGACCGGAGCGCAGCCGCACGCTCAGTGCAAACAGGGGCAATAAACTTTTCCCTACCTCAGGTTATTAACTGTGATGGGAACAGCCACTGCCATGCTCGGGCTGCTCCCTACACTCCCGAACAGCATGGAGCACAGCTGGGGAGGGACAGCCCAGCCCTCCCCGAGGGCTCCGGCAGGCAGAGACTGGGGACACTGGGAACACTGGGTATGCCCCATATGTGCCCACAGGCTGCTCCCCCCCGCAGCCTGGAGTACTTCGGCCTCGCATGGGGGAGAGCTGCGGCATCGCCACTCACCTCCGCCTTCTCCAGCTTGCTCTGGGCCTCCACCTGTGCCACGATCTCGTTCATGTTGGTCTCCAGCACCATGCCACCAATCACCACCTCCTGCAAGATGTGGTGAACCTGCGAGGGAAGGAAGGGAAGGCTGCACTCCCAGCCCAGCTCACAGACCAGGAGCAGCAGTGGGCACAGTGCCTGCAGGCTGGTGCAGGAGCGTCGGGGGCTGGCATTTCCCTGAGAGACACAAATTCATCCCTGTCTTCCCCTCAGCCCGCACAGCCCCAGAAGCCCAGAGAGCAAGAGGGCAACCACAGTCCCCAGCACAGGGGGAGCCCGGCAGCCCCATTTACCGCTTGCACTTCTGCTCCAGAAGACACCAACCAGAGAGGCGAGCAAACGTCGCCCACGGGACCAGTGGGCACAGGGCAGCCCCTGGCCAGGCCAGGTCCGACCCGGCCCGCTGGCACACCCCGGCTGTGCCATCTCCAACACCTTGTCTGAGGTCTGATCCCTGCCGGGCCCGGGCACACGCGGGAACAGCTCCCTGCCTAGAAAGGGTGCTGGAGAGGAGCCCCAGGGAGCAGAGACCCCAGGGCTCCCGGGGCCACTGGCCACGACACTTCTTCCCTAAACAGGCTGCTAATACCCAGAAAGCCAGGCCAGAGCCCAACTTGTTTGCTTTCTCTTAGGAAAGACGAGACTGCAAGACGCACACAGAAAAAGCACAAGACTGCTAAGAGAGTCTGCTCCTTTCCCCAGGGTCTGCCAGCTCCAAGGCTGAAAACGGAGCAGGGTAAGGCAGCGAGCTGCTCCCTCCCACCAGCCCCTGCCGGGGAGGGAGGGCCGGCGATGCCCCACAGCCACTGCAGGAGAAGGGGCCCGTCGTGGTTTGCAACCCAAGAAAAGACCAACCACCCCAGGGCGGCTGCCGGGCCGCACTGGGCAGCAGCAACACACCTTTGGCTCCAGCGCCCAGCACGGCGCAGGCTGCCCTGCTACATCAGCAGCTCCCAACAACCACCCAGCACAGATAATGAATTTATGGGTCTCTGGTTACTTCCATGAAATGGGCTATTACTGGAAGATAGTTGAGTTATTATATCGTTTTATGGCTTCATGAGGTTGCACTTGTAAACACTGTGTGGCAAATACTGCCAGGGCAATGCTGTGACAAATAAAGCAAGCTAGTGAATGTGCTAGAAACGGCGAACCCAGCTTTGTGCAAACGGTGAGCCCGATGCCCCGCAGGGCTCCCCGCAGGCCCCGTCCTGCTCCGGCGGCACCAGGAGCAGCAAGGTGTGTGGGATCAGCACCGCGCAGGGTGAGCCATGGGCGATACAGCACGTTCCGGGGACAGCCGCAGCACAGGGATCGCAATCCCACAGCATAGGCTCGGCTCACACCGCGCTGGATGGTGTTAGCAGCTCCCCGCAACAGGAGAGCATCTGAGCTGCAGGAAATGTTGTTCCTTCAAGATCTGGCTTCAGCCCAAGTTGGACCAAAACCAACAGGGCAGAAATCCCAAGCAAGCTTTGTTTTCCAAACTGAAACACAGCGCTTCCTGAACAAACCGTGTCCTCTCCAGGACCTCACAGCTGCTGAGCAAAACTCACGTTCTCCTCCAAGGTATGAAGCACAAGCAGGGGCTGGGCAAGAGCCTCTTCTGAGCCTCCCCATGGCGTCATGGCCCCAGCCTCCCCTTGCAACAGACGGATCCCTGCAGCTCTGAGGCCGCTGCTTCCAGAGCTGACAGCCTAAAAGCACTGGTGGCACTGGTGCCTGAGAGCCACAGACCCAACGGCCCCATCCAGCTGCGCACTGCAAGAGCAGGGACCCAAAACCTGCAGCAGCTCTCATTTCACAGTCCCTGTGCTGCACAGAGTGTAAGGTGTATCTTACGGCAGTAACAGAAAATCACAGGACCCAGACAAGGCTGCACCCAAATCCCAGCCAGAACCCGCTGGGTTGGGGATGTTCACAGCCAAAGTCTCTGCTTGACAAATCAGTGCTTTCCTGTTGACATTGGCTCTATTTCTCCTGTTGCGGTTGGGAACTCGTGAACTCTGCAATCCATCTGGCAGAGCGTAGGGTAGCACCGTGCCCTGCACAGCTCTTGACTAACCAAAGTCCTGGAGGCAGGGCTCCACGGGAGCG